GTGGTTTAGTGATTCCTCTTCTCTCTTCATGGGATAAGGAACAGGACTTGGGGCTGATTTCCCCAAGATTAGTGGGAGAGGTAGGCGTAGATTCCATTACAGCTTGGACAATGTCCTATCTCTCAGTTTATAGACTTCTCCAGGAATGGCAGGCTCTACTCTATACATGCATTTGGTGGATGGGGATTGATAACTGCTAGAGACTGAACATATAACTGGGTGTGAGGGATATAAGCTTCTTACACTATTCTCATATTTAAGTGTGGGTGAGAGTTAAAAGGTCGCTCTACCAGTGAATGACTACATGTTCTGCTGACAAAGAAACACGCAGGGACTATTTTCACCTTTCTGGAAATTGTGATTAGAAAATTCAAGGAGAAGGTCAAGGCACTAAACCAGAGCTGGCAGGAAGGAGGACCAAGTCCTGCTCAGAATGCCTGGAGAGTCCCTGCCAGAGCCTTGGGTGAGAGCCCGTCCTTAGCCTTGGTCCCAGCTGGCTTCCATGTGGTTAAGGGACCTGCCTGGGGATTCCCCATCATTCAAGAGCTCTTTGAGTGACCCCCTCCTTAGCCCCTCCAGTAGGGAATTCCCCAGACTGTTCTCACACCCACATGAAGCCTGCTCCTTAGCCACCCCCAGCTTGCTCGTGCTTTATGATAGGAATGGTACCAAGTAACCCCACAGGTGAGGACGAATTGTGAACATTAGCATCTGGATTTGCATAAGATAGGAAAAGAGGGAAGATGAAATTGGAAAGCCAGCATGGCTGAGGCCTCATGGGAGATAATTATCAGATATCATAAGATTTAAACAGACTTCAAAGGCAAGAGACGATTGTAGGCACAGACTCTGAGGCCAGATTACCTCAATTCAAGTACTGGTGCTGCTACTTGCAAGCTGTGTGACATTAAACAATGTACTTAACTTCTCTGTACCTTCAATTTTCCTCTTCTGCAAAGTTTGCATAATAATATTAAATACCATATAGGGTTTTTTGCAAAGATTAAATATGATAAACTTAAAAGAGTGATTGTCACATGGTAGCATTCACTAAATGTTAGTTAATTTTAAGTCAAGCTATAGTTTTTATTTATTTATTTTTTATTTATTCATTCATTCATTCATTTATAGGCAAGGAAACCCTTGGTTGACCTCACAGATTGCGCACGGAAACCCTTGGTTGACCTCACAGATTGCAAGGACCTTGTCAGTTTATAATCCCTTATTATTTTATTTTATTTTTTTACACCTACAGCATCTTGTCTTCCTATGTGGTCTCCCATCCAAGTACTAACCAGGCCCAACCCTGCTTAGCTTCCAAGATCAGATGGGATTGGGCTTGTTCAGGGTGGCACGGCCATAGACTATATTTTTCTTTTAAAAATTTGGTTTCTACTACTCGTTCTCATAAATTGAGTCTACATCCCTCTTCCCTCAACACACACTCACATACACACACATGCACTCGCACGTATACTCACTTTCCCAACGGGTGGAGGTTAGAGGCTCTAGTTTGCTAATATACTCAGGTAGTCATTTGGAAATCTGAAATATTCGAGAGTTGAAGAGGGCTTAGAGATCTTCTAATTCTGTGGTTTTCAAGATTCAGTGCAGATTAGAAACCCCTGGGGAGCCTCTAACAACCCATGCTGAGGCTGCACCCCAGACTGATTAAGTCAGAATCAACCATCAGTATTGTTAAAACTCCAAGGGTTCCCACTGGTCCCAGTGAGTGGCCAAGGTCGAGAGCCATTGTTTTGATCCAGTCGTCCTGTTTTAAAATGAGGCAACTGGCTCAGAAAGGGTCACCCAGCCAGGACCAGGACCCAGGACACGTGTCCCCAGGTACCACTGATGGAGCCCACCGTTGTCATGTATTTCGGACCTCATTCTGCATCTGGAGTTGGCCCTCTAGCAGAGTAGCTGGACAGGAGATTCTCTCCCAGCTCAGTGTGGGAGGCAAATGACCAGCTCTGATTAGAAGAGTGTGATCAGTACAGGGATCTTGCACTGTGTTGTTTAAAGATCCCCCAAGCTGAGACCCAATTTTCTCTTGGGAGACTATAGGGCAGCGAAGGACTCCTCAGTGATCTCTTTGTGTGGTTATGGGGCTTTGGATCAATCGCTCACTCAAAGTTTCTGGACCTATGAGAAACTAAGAGTCTTGAAGTAAATCCTATAGTCCTTTCTCCTATCAGCTGCTGCCACCAACCTGTAGTTATATTGGCGGGTAGGTGGAGTAGGCTTGTTCCAGAGTCTGTTTTAGCCTTGTCTGTAAAGTGGAGGTAATGATAGCAGCTGGCCTTCCATATCCAACTTGGTTGTCGTAAGGAGCCTGGAGAACCTAAATAAATTCCAAAAAGTAGAAAGCAGGTTACAGGGAAGCACAAATGCAGGCCCACCCTCCCCCACCGTAGTAGAAGACGTGTGTTAGAAGCCAAAATTTACTTCTCAAATTTCCTTTCCTCTTCCCTTTCACTGAGTTCTAGGTTTCCAGCACCCATGGGGAAGCTAGGAGGAAGTTAGGGGATTTGATCATCATATCTCTGGGTAAACAGCTGCTCCCAAGTCAGCCTTTGCCAGATACTCCTGTGTGAGCCCTCTCCAGGGCATGACTGCCCCAGGGAGGGTCAGACTGGACCTAGCGACGAGAGGTGGGTATGTGGAGGAATGAGGCCCCAGATCAGCTGCCTTCCTCCTGAAAAGGAGTCCAATTCTTCCTCCTGTAAATGTCTGGCTGACAGCATGGCCCCTGGGTAGGCAGTGCTGGTTTCTGTGGGGTCCTAGCAAGAAGCAGTCTTGCTCCTCAAGGCAAAGACAAGTTTCTTGTCACAGGTGGTGGTTTTTTGGTTAGAGGCAGCAGCGGTTACGGTTACGAGCTGCCTCCTAGAGCTCTGGGGACTGCAAGCCAGGGGGCAGGGAGAGGGAGATGAAAAAACTAGAGAGAGCTCAGCCAAGCTTGCTTAGGGAGGAAGAATCTGCTGCTACTTCCCCGAAAGCTGGGTCTGCCTCTAGGCAGGGAGAAGGTCAGAGCAGTTGGTCCCTGCGCCGCCTACCCTGCCCCTCCCTTCTGCCTCGGGGTTTGCCCAGGCTCTTCAGAGCACAGAAGTTACAGTAAATGTTGTCACCAGTGGAAACTCTCAGAGGGGGCGAGGAAAAGGCTAGAGGAAGGGGCCAGGACTCCCGGCCCCCAGTTCCCGTCTTAACAACACCCCCCAGTCTCAAGTGTTGCTTTATCTTACCTTTCGGTAAAGAGGGGATGCCCTCTCTCTGGGATGTGCCCGTAAACAACCAAATGGTAAGACGAAGGAGCCAGCCACATCTTGCAGAAGCAGCAGCCAGTGCCTCTGACTCTACCATCATGGCTCTGAGTATCCCACCCAACCCCATCCCATTTTAGAGATGGGGGTTTCCTTTGTACTGACCTAGGTACTATTTTCTAGCTCAGAGCCACATACAGGAAATGCCAGCCTGAGGCTGAGCATGCTCACATCTGTCCTTGATAAACAGATGGAAGCTAGTTTGATGGGTAAGGCCACAGTCATACGCTACTCTACCACTTAACCGGATGCATGGGTTAGGGCAATTGGCAGTATAGCTCTCTCATTACCCTGCAGCTCATGCTCCTAGTGGATTATTTAAGGCAAATTTTAAATGTCAAGTTATCTTACATTTCCTCTCTGCCCATCATAATTTTGAGTCAACTTCTAGTCCAGCAGTTGATATTAATTGCCAATCAATAAACATTTGAGTTTACACGCATTGTGCCAGACATGTAATAAGTGCTTGAATAATTAAAACAAATTTAATAACATATTCAACTAGCATTTTCAAACTTGCTTGATCATTAGAATGACCTACGGTACTTGTTAAAAATTCAAATTCCCAGAATTCATTCCAAATCCCAAATCCACTGGGTTTAAGTTTCTTGAATTAATTCTGATGACGTGGTAAGTTTGGGGAATGCTGGCCTAAATCAAATAAAACTAGAACAATAAGGCCTGGACTCCAAATTTTAGGCTGCTTTTTTGGACTGAAATGTTTATTTGCCATTTCCAGTGCCATTGTCCCTTCCTCTGACGATTAACAGAAAAGGTTTGCTTGACTGAGTCAAGGGATGTGAACCTTAAATGCATATTGGAAATACAAGACCTCTGCGTTTTCTGAAGGTGGGATTGCTTCCAGTAAATGCTAATTCCAGAGTGGAACTGTTGATTTATTAGTGGTACGACTGGTAATCGGTGCTCTTTGCCCTGAGTTTTCCTGATCAGCAAGTATCCTATGGTTCTCTCAAGCCACAGAAGAAAGGTGTTTCTGGAAATGGGGAAGCATGGGTTCCTGGGACACACCCAGAATGCTGTACAAAACAGGGTGGAATCAAACGCTGTAGTGGACATTGATATTTATTAAGATCCTCGGTGTTCTAGAATCTGGGTGACTCAGACAATTAACCATGAATTCCATTCGTAAAACTAACTGCAAACTCTGGGGCTGCTTGGAAAACACGTGGTATAACGGAGTGGAAAAGAGTAAAAACGATATAAGATGTTCTCATAAACTCTTTTCCATTTTTTCGGGCTCTGGCCTGCCAACCTGTTTCCCTTGATATGTACTTGCCTCTCTCAAGCCATGCGCACAGAAAAGCACACTCACACACACACACACACACATTCACACATACACCTCTATTAGTTGGGACCATACGAAACTGTAAAAACAGACCAATATTAGCAATTTCGTATGGTTCGACCTCATATCTATGCATGCACGTGCACACATATATACATACTAATACAGATGCACCCATACACACACACACACACACACACACACAGCGCATACAAACGTATATGCACATGTGCCCACACTCACACGTGCAAATTCACGATGCTCTGCTCCATGGCTATGCTAGTGGCAGTTCTAACCTGGGCTCCTCCTGATACCCCCACCCACAGTCTTGCGGCCTGCCCTGACATTAATGCCGATCGCCCCCCTCACAGGAGAGTGAAGACCTGGAGAAACAGAATGCGGCTCTGCGCAAGGAGATCAAGCAGCTCACAGAGGAGATGAAGTACTTCACGTCGGTGCTCAGCAGCCACGAGCCCCTGTGCTCAGTGATGGCCACCAGCACCCCCTCGCCCCCCGAGGTGGTATACAGCACCCACGCCTTCCACCAACCTCACGTCAGCTCCCCGCGCTTCCAGCCCTGAGCTTTTCCATAGGTGGGGGAGAACAGAGCCGCCCCCTACCCCCGCCCGCCCCTAGCTGCTCCGGCTGCTTGGGAGGGGCACAAAGACTGTGGCCAGACTGCCCTTGTCTCTCAGAGCCCTCTGTCTACCTGGAGATATGAAGACAGAGGCCTGGACCAGGAATGAGCACAGGACGGTAGCAGCTGGAAGTGTGCGAGGCCTCCCAGCGGGGCGGCAGCCCGTCGGAGTGTGCTGGACCCCCACGCTGGTCCGATGCAGAGCTGTATCAAGCAGAACGCCCAAGACCGATGGCACAAAGAGAGAAGGGCAATGGAGGGTTATTTTTCTAAATAAATGTCTTAAAAGAAGCAAATCTGGTAAGGCAGTTTCCCTTTCACACTGTCTCCCGAAGCCTTAAATTCTGTGGGGCTGGGGCCTGCTTTTGCTCTTGGCCTCAAGAGCCCGTAAAACTCTGGAGACTGCTAATCTCAATCAATCTCTCTCTCTCTCTCTCTCTCTCTCTCTC